AAAGAAAGAAAGAAAGAAAGAAAGAAAGAAAGAAAGAAAGAAAGAAAGAAAGAAAGAGTCTCATCAATATCCTGAATAAAAATTCTCAGTCATTGCTGATAAAATTGCCATCCCACAGTGGGATATCACCTGGTTTCCCTGCCTTTGTTATTTGTGTAGCCCTCAAATACTGACGTCTCCTACTGAAAATCAACAGAGTTGTACAAGAGAAATGTCCTCAGTTAACTCCTCAAGAGGCAGAGGGTAAACTGGCCAGGAGAAAAACAACGATTCTACAACTAGAACCACAAAGGTACTCTCTACCAGCCTGCAGGGAGATTGAGAGCTCCAGCCCAAACAGTTATGGCAGCCATTATGCCCTAATGCCAAGAGCAGGCTCACAAACTTCTGATTGACCAAATCCCTATTCAGGTGAAAGAGGTCTGTATGCCAATCCTTTTCCTTTATCTTTACAAGGCCCACAGGGCAGTTTTTAGGAGAGTAGATCCCCAGTGGCTACTCCCCCCACCCACAGGCTCTGCACTATGGTGGAACCCCAGATGGTCCTTAGCTCACACTTGCTTCATGGCTGAGCAGAGGCTGCCTCCCACAGCCCATCTGTCCTACCCAGTGAGCCAGGGAGTTCTAGGAAAGGCAGTTGCTTTGCAAACTTCTACTTCAATGGTAGGACAGCATGTGTGGATCCTAGAGAAGTACTTTCACTTGCTAAACACATGCCTAAATGCCCATGGGTGGAGCAGCATTGAGAAATCCCATTATTAGAATTGAAAAGAGTGTTTAATTTAAGAATACTTCGGAAGCAAAAATTTAAGCTTTCTCACAGCCCTGAAAGGGCCTGAAACACTATGCTACTAATTAGTAATTGTGATGGACCCAGCTGTGGAGATTAAAATTTCGGGAACTCTTTGAGATCTGTACAATTAGCACCGTTCTTCAAAGCGCCCAAGAATAAAAGCTGGTGGTTTTCTCTAACTGCCTTTTTAATTGAACAGTGTGCCAGAGTTTCCAGTTCCTGGTAAAGCAAAAGACGCCAAGAATATTTATCTGAGGAAATATATCGTTTTACTAAATCTTCCAAAATGATGCAAATCTGGGCTTTTTATAAGCCTGGAGCTAATTTTCAATTATCCACAGAATTGGAGGCACCCATGCTATCAGGGCTTCTCAGCCTTGTAATGTTAGCACGTTGAGCTGGATAATTCTTGTCCTGCAGTAGTGTCCCTGACTTCTGCCGAGTACAGCCAGTAACACACACTCACACACACACATACACACACATTTATCACAACCAAAAGGTCCCCAGCCTTGGCTAAGTGTCCCTTGTTGAGAACCACTGCATGTCTCTGAAAAGTTAACTGTAACCTAAAGGCTGACCCCTGGACTCCAGAGGTGGCATTCTCCCTATCTCAACCCATTCCGTCTGTTCCTCCAATTCTATTCACTCCTCCTTTCTACCTCTGGCTTCAGTTGGTTAACTAGGTCAACCTGGGCTAAGAAATGTCATTAGTAGCATGGCAGCTTTCATCCACTAAACATTTATTTCACTGCAAGCACATCATCACCTCACACCATCCCAGGTCATCTGGACACCTCATTTCAATAGGTGTTGTTAGCACTCTTTTATAAATATCCCAACTCAATCTTGGTCAGCTTAACTGACTGGCTTACTTTCACACAGCTCACAAATAAGGAACTTGGGAAGAGTTTACAGAAATGTCTACCTGATACCCACACACACTTTTACCGTTAAGGTAAAAACAAGAAGTAGCTCTCCCCTTGTTCCCTTATGGCAGAATACCATTAAATGGCTCTGTAGATCACCCTTTATCTGCCCCTTAATTCACTGCTAGGGCAAGGACAAATGCAGGGGACAGGAAAAGATCAATGTATCCAATCGGTAAATTGGGAGAAGAAATTAGGCATGCTCAGTCTCTCCTTTCTTCCTTCGTTCCTTCCTTCCTTCCTTTTTTACATCTTTTCTTCTTCCCTTCCTTCCTTCTTCCTAGAATGTTTCTGCTGGAGAAATTAAGATTCCTCCTGCCAGGACCATACATGGAGATAACCTAAGACCCCTGCACAGATGTAGCCCATGGCAGTTCAGTATCCAAGTGGGTTCCATTGTAATAGGAACAGAGACTGTCTCTGACATGAACTGATTGGTCTTTAATTACCTCCCCCTGAGGGGGAAGCAGCATTACCAGGCCACAGAAGAAGACAACGCAGCCACTTCTGATGAGACCTAATTGACGAGGATCAGAAGGAAGGAAAAGAAGACCTCCCCTATCAGTGGACTTGGAGAGGGGCATGCATGCAGAGAGTGGAGGAAGGGAGGGATTGGGATGGGAGTAGGGAGGGAGGGAACCACAGGGGGGATACAAAGTGAATAAAGTATAATTAATAAAATATTTTAAAAAGTAAAAAAAAAAAAAATAGAAAAAAAAAGATCCCTCCTGCCATAAAGCATGGATCTACTTGGACAGGGGAACATTGTGGCTGCTCAGCTTGGCCTGTAACTGAGTGGTTTACTCTGAGAGCAGTATTAGCAAGTCTGTCTACTTACTAGTCTGTGCTACATTCTTTGAAGAGCATTATGGGGGTAAGAATGCCCCCATAGGCACAATTGTTTGAATGGTTGCTTTCCAAGTTGGTGGCACTGTTTGGGAAGAATGGAAGGATAAAAAAAGCATGGCCTTAAGAAGGCATAGCCCTATTGGGGGAGCCATGTCATTGGGAATAGACTTTGAGATTTCAAAAGTCCTTGCCTTTGCCAATGTTTCTCTCTTTCTCATTCTCTCTCTCTCTCTCTCTGCCTTACAGTTCTTGTCTCAACATGTAACCTCTCAGCTACTGCTTTGATACAATGCCTGCCTATCTGTTGATATGCCTTCACCACATTGATCATAAACTCTTGAAACTGAAGGAAGCCCCCAATGAACTTTTTCTACTATAATAGAAAAAGCCTTGGTCGTTGTGTCTCTTCACAGCAACAGAAAAGTAACTAAAATAATCAGTTATAATACTAACATTTTGATCTTTTCCCACAAGACTTCTATACTTACCTGTCAATTCCATTCCAAACTAACCCACCTTAACACCAAACTGATCACTCAACAATATTGTACTCAAAAATATGGCATAACTGGCTAACACAGTCTATGGTAATCTGACAAAGACACTCAAAAACATTTACTTACTTTTCAGAGCACATTTATGTTCTTATAAAAACCGAGAAGAATGTACAGTTGTCATATACCCCATTCTTTCCCTGCACAACCCCAATAGCTGGCCCCAATGCTATTAATATCCTATGCCAAAATGGTAGACTCATCAAAACTGATAAGCCTACTTTGACATATCTTCATCTACATGTATACTCTTGCTCTGTGGTTTTCAACCTTCCTAATGCTGTGACCCTTTAATACAGTTCCTCATGTTGTGACCCCCTGAATGATTAATTAATTTTTTGCTATATCATAACAGTAATTTTGCTACTGTTATGAATCATAATGTGAGTATTTTTGGAGATGAGACATTTGCCAAACAGGTCACTGCTCTTTGGCATTATACGTTCTGTGCATCTTGTTAAACGAACAATGTATTTATCATTGTCCTCCAACCTTTGACTACTTGTTGTTCATTACTACCAGCTCCTGGAAACCACTGATCTCTCTGCAGTTTCTATAGTTTTGCCTTTTACAGAATGTAAAAGCTGGACTCACAGCTTTTTCACATTGGCTGCTTTCACTTAGTTATGTACATTTAGGATTTCTCTGTGTATTCCCATGGATCAGTAACCATATCTTTTAAGCTGTGAATAATACTCTATTTTATGGTTGTAGCATAGTTGAATAACTGAAGAATATCTTGGTTGCTTACAGGTTTAGGCATCTGTGACTTTTATTTATTTATTTATTTATTTATTTATTTATTTACACTTTATTCACTTTGTATCCCCCCATAAACCCCTTCCACCTCCCCTCCTAATCCCACCTTCCCTCCCCCTTCTTCATGCATGCCCCTCCCCAAGTCCACTGATAGGGGAGGTCCCCCTCTCCTTCCTTCTGATCTTAATCTATCAAATCTCATCAGGAGTGGCTGCATTGTCATCTTCTGTGGCCTGGTAAGGCTGCTCCCCCCTCAGAGGGAGGTGATCAAAGAGCAGGCCAGTCAATTTATGTCAGAGGCAGTCCCTCTTCCCATTACTATGGAACCCACTTGGACACTGAATTGCCATGGGCTACATCTGTGCAGGGGTTCTAGGTTATCTCCATGCCTGGTACTTGGTTGGAGTATGAGTCTCTGGAAAGACCCCTGTGTTCAAATTTTCTGGTTCTGTTGTTCTCCTTGTGGGGTTCCTGTCCTCTCCAGATCTTACTATTTTCCTCTTCCTTCATAAGATTCCATGCACTCTACCCAACAGTTGGCCATAAGTCTCAGCATCTGCTCTGACAGTCTGCAGGGCAGAGCCTTTCAGAGGCCCTCTGTGGCAGGTTCCTAACTTGTTTCCTGTTTTCCTCTGCTGCTGCTGTCCATCCTTTTTTCCTTTTGTGACTTTTTTAACAACAACAACAAACAACTTTATTATATACATATACGACAAGGACTTTTAAACTCCAACACGATCTTTCCAGTTTTGCAGAGAGAGATATATTGCCATGGAAAATGCATGACTCATATTCTCCCACCCTGAAAGCTGGTCAGAGATCATGTGCCCTCACACTTGACTCCACTTCCAGTTCCATAACAGCATCCCACTGGGCACGAAAGCCAACTACACACAAAAAGGCCTGGAGAATATTTTGCAAACAGCTATTGAGAGGTGGCTCTATCTCTTTCCCTGTGGCCTTCTTGCTCAGCTATTCCTAAAGTTCTCCCACTCAAATGTTTAAAAAGTCATGAGAACAAACGAATGAGACTTACCAATTTTTGCAATGAGGTTATTTTGAAGATAGAGAATTTTTAAATCCTTGCACCATTTGTCAATATGTTCTAATCTTTCTATTTCTTGCTGATGCAAAGAAAGTTCCTCCAGGGAGAAAATTACACAGTCATTGTGCTCAGCATTCCTCCTAATAAGATCTTCTGTGACTGAAAGAAATTTTGTAGCATATTATATTCCCATTTCCATCGTTCTGTGTCAGATTATCATGTTATTAACATGCTGGAGTTTCCTTGCAGCTAATAATTCTTGAAGCCCGAGCATTTTTTTCAGAAAGAGAGAAGTCAGACAAACGCTGCTTGCTACTCACCTCATGGAGTCCAGATAGAGCCATGATATGAAACAAAGAAAAATGACACAATAAAATGTCAAATCTCATTTTTCTTGGTTCATATATGACATATGTAAGTTTTGCTACATAGATGGAGGAAGAATTGTTGACGTATGTAAAAACATGTATATGGGCTCTCCTGGTGGCACCAGACCAAACTGGGTGAGCTCCACTAATGGACCTAAGACAGAGCTACTGAATCAAAGGACAGAACATAAAAACTTCGACCATGTTTTTTATTACTGAGTAATATTCCATTGTGTAAACGTACCATAATTTCTGTATCCATTCCTCAACTGAGGGGTGTCTGGGTTGTTTCCAGGTTATGGCTATTGCAAATAAAGCTGCTACAAACATGGTTGAGCAAATGTCCTTATAGTGTACTTGAGCCTCCTTTGAATATATGCCTAGGAGTGGTATAGCTGAATCTTGAGGAAGCGCTATTCCTAGTTGTCTAAGAAAAGTACCAGATTGATTTCCAGTTGTACAAGTTTACATTCCCACCAGCAGTGGAGGAGGGTTCCCCTTTCTCCACAACCTCGCCAGCATGTGTTGTCCCTTGAGTTTTTCATCTTGGCCATTCTGATGGATGTAAGGTGATATCTCAGGGTCGTTTTGATTTGCATTTCCCTGATGGCTAATGAGGATGAGCATTTCAGAGAATATTCAATTCCCCAGGATTTCCCCATGACAGGCCTCCCTTCTTCCTCCTGGACCTAGGCGGAGGCTGCAGAGGTGGCCCACAGCACTCAGAGCTCCTAGCACAGAGCACAGAACCAGTGGCTTCTCCTGGCCAATCAGGCCCCCACCTCCCCAGGGCCTTCCAGAAGGCATCTGTGCCAGCGGCCTCCTAGTTCTGCCTTGGTGGCTGGACTCCCAGTGGACTGGAACACCAGGCCCCAGGTTCTGTGGCAAAATAGGGATTCTTGGGACAGCATTATCAACACTGAAGTCCCTGCTCTGTGGGTCTACCAGTGGAGTTGAGGCAAACAAATCCTGGAACCCAGACAGATCTGAATACCAGAAAGAGAGTATGACAGGACTGTAGACCACTGAGGTATTCAGGAAATCTATGTAGGTGCTTTGCACCTGCAAACTACACCTGCTAACAGTGCTAGCATCTGTACCCCCTCCTGTGCCTGCTCCCCTCCCCCACATTTCAAGCACCTACACTTTCTAGCACTCTCTGCCTCAAGACACATTACCATGCACACGCACACACTTACTCCCCCGCAATTGCGATTCTGTGCCAGTGGCTTTTCCTCCCTTAGGTACAGCTGAAACATTAACACACGCTCTCAAACCAGTGGACCTATCTCATCTTCCTGAATACTGCAGACACCAGAGAAAGATGGACCAAATCAGATGGCCAGAGGTTGGCATAAGAACAAGTCCAGAAAAAATCAGGATATCATGGCTCCACTAGCAACCCCCAAAATCAATGAATATTTTAATTCAGCGGAAACACAGGAAAATGACTTTAAAGTTGTGCTTATCCAGTTATTAGAGGAACATAAAGAGGAAATGAAAACTCTCAGAGAAATAGCCACACAAATGAAGGCAAATAAAGAGGAAATGAACAAAGCTCTCAAAGAAATAGAGACAAATAAAACCTCACAAGTAGAGGCAAAACTAGTTGTGTATAGAGAGGAAATGAACAAAAAAAAAAAAAATAGAAGCCATCATAGAAAGACAAGAATCCACATTCAAACAGATGAAAGAAATGGTGCAAGGCATGAAAACAGAATTAGAATCAATGAAGAAAACACAAACAGAGAAAACCCTGGAGCTGGAGAACTTAGAGAAAAGATCAGGAACCACAAAGGTAAGCATCACCAACAGGATACAAGAGGTGGAAGAGAGAATCTCAGGTGCTGAAGACACATTTACAGAAATTGATACTTCTCTCAAAGAAAAAGTAAAATTGGAAAAGTCCCCAAAACAAAACATCCAAGAAATCAAGGATGCAATGAAATGACAAAACAGAAGAATATTAGGAATAGACGAAAAAGAAGATTCCAGGCTCCAAGGTCCAGAAAATATTTTCAAGAAAATCATAGGAGAAAATTTTCCCAACTTAAAGATAGAGATGTCCATAAACATACAAGAAGCCTATAGAGCAACAAATAGACTAGAAAAGAAAAGAAACTCTTCACAACACATCATATTCAAAACACTAAACCTACAGAACAAAGAAAAAATATTAAAGGCAGCAAGGAAAAAAGGCCAAGTAACATATAAAGGTAGACCTATCAGAATCACACTAAACTTCTCAACAGAAAGTATGAAAGCCAGAAGGGCCTGGGCAGATGTCATGCAGACCTTAAGGGACCACAGATGCCAACCCAGACTACTATACCCAGCAAAGCTTTCAATCAACATAGATGAAGAAAACAAAATATTCCATGACTAAACTGAATTTAAACAATATCTACACAGCAACCCAGCCCGACACTAGATACTAAAGGGAAAACTCCAATCCAACAAAATCAACTACAGCCAAGAAAACATAGGATACAGATAATATCCCAACAAAAATTAAAAGAAAGCAATGAATCACAGTAACACCACCAACTCACAATAAAAGGAACTAACATTGGTCACTGTTATCTATCCACATCAGTGGACTCAACTCTCCAATATAAAGACACAGACTAAAAGAATGGTTGCAGAAACAGGTCCAACATTCTGCTGCATCCAAGAAACAAATCTCTGCAACAAAGATAAACTCTACCTCAGAGAAAAGGGCTAGAAAAGTGTTTTTCAAGCAAATGGACCCAGAAAACAAGGTGGGGTAGCTATCCTAATATCTAATAACATAGACTTTCAACCAAAATTAATCAAAAAAGATGAGGAGGGGCACTTCATTTTCATGAAAGGAAAAATCCACCAGGTGGGCAACAGAATTCTTAACATCTATACCCCAAATACAAGAGCATCTACATTTGTAAACAAAACATTATTAAAGCTTAAATCACACATTGATTCCAACACCTTAATAGTGGGAGACTTCAGCAATCCATTCTCATCAAGAGACAGATCACCTAGACAGACACTAAATAGGGACATAATGGCACTTAACAGAGGTCCTAAATCAAATGAACCTAATAGATGTCAACAGAACTTTTTACCCAAATTCAAAAGAGTATACCGTCTTTTCAGCACCTCATGGAACCTTCTCCCAAATAGACCATATAGTGGTCACAAAGCAAGCCTCAGCAGATACAAGAAAATAGAAATCATCCCTTGTGTCCTATCTGACCACCATGGACTAAAGCTGAACCTCAAAAACAACAAAAACAGCAAAAAGCCTACACGCACATGGAACCTGAACAACTCCCTACTCAATGACAGCTGGGTTAGGGAAGAAATAAATTAAAGACTTCCTAGAATTCAATGAAAATGAAGGCACAACATATGCAAACTTATAGGACACAATGAAAGAAGTGCTAAGAGGAAAGTTCATAGCACTAAGTGCCTTCAAGAAGAAATTCAAAACATCTCATACAATCAACTTAATGGACCACCTGAAAATCCTAGAAAAAAGAAAAGGCAGACACACCCAAAAGGAATAGACAGCTGGAAATAAACTCTGGCTGAAATCAAAAAATTAGAAACAAATAAAACCATTCAAAGAATCAACGAAACCAAGACATGGTTCTTTGAGAAAATCAACAAGATAGACAAACCCTTAGCCAAAGTAACTAAAAGGCAGAGAGACACTATCCAAATCAGCAAAATCAGAAACAAAAAGGCGGACATAACAACAGACACTGAGGAAATCCAAACAATCATTAGGTCTTACTATAAAAGCCTATGTGCCACAAAATTTGAAAATCTAAAGTATATGGACAATTTTCTTGATAGATTCCATTTACCAAAATGAAATCAAGATCAGGTAGAAAGAATGAATACTCCTATATGCCCCAAGGAAGTAGAAGCAGTCATCAAAATTCTCCCATCCAAAAAAAGCCCAGGGCCAAATACTTTCAATGCAGAATTCTACCAGATCTTCAAAGAAGTGCTAACTCCTAACTCCTATTCGCTTCAAATTATTCCACAAAATAAAAACAGAAGAAACATTACCAAACTCATTCTATGAAGCCACAATCACCTTGATAACTAAACCACACAAAAACCCAACAAAAAAAGAGAATTTCAGACCTATCTCTCTTATAAACATTGATGTAAAAATACTGAATAAAATACTGGCAAACCAAATCCAAGAACATATGAAAGATATCATCCAACATGACCAAGTAGTCTTCATCCCAAGCATGCAGGGGTGGTTCAATATACAGAAATCCATCAATGTAATCCACCATATAAAAAACTGAAGGAGAAAAACCACATGATCATCTCCTCAGATGCCAAAAAAGCATTTGACAAAATGCAATACCCATTCATGTTTAAAGTCTTGAAGAGATCAGGGATACAAAGCACATACCTAAACACAGTAAAGACAATATACAGTAAGCCTATAACCAACATTAAACTAAACAGAAACTTAAATCAATCCCACTAAAATCAGGGATAAGGCAAGGCTGCCCACTCTCTCTGTATCTCTTCAACATAATACTTGAAGTCCTAGCTAGAGCAATAAGACAATGAAAGATCAAGGGGATTCAAATCAGAAAGGAAGAAGTCAAAATATCACTATTTGCAAATGATTTGATAGTATATGTGATATCATATACTTTATACTGTCATTTGATAGTATAAAGATATCATCTTTAACAAGTGGTGCTGGTTTAACTGGATGTCTACCACAAAAATTCATCCAGAGAACTCCTTCAGCTGATAAACATCTTCAGCAAA